TCAATTTATCACTAACCTAAACTAATATTTTTTAAGGATGATGTGTCTTTCGTTTTTAAGTTAAACATAATGAAACTTATTTAGGTATATTAAAATTAAAGCATCATATTTATCATTCTTAAAATCCATGTTTAATTGTAATTCCGACCATGAGATCTTATCATCTGATTTATAATGCTATTATAACTTAATTTCTATGCATAAGTTTCTTCTCAAAAGTCTAACGATGTTAGCATCATATTATTATTATTACGTTAAATTGTATTGAATTACGACAGTTTGTTTAAAATTTGTTTTGATAATTATGTTTTGGTTATCAAAACATATAAATAGCTTCCACTAAGACAATCCATTCTCATTATATTCTTTTTTGTACCATAATATTTACTCGATCATTTTTAGGTTTTAGCAGATATGACTACAAGTACCTCCCAATTGACAACCCTGTTCATTGTTGTAGCTTTGGTGTGTGCATTTGTTCCTGCTTTCTCTGTAGAAGAAGGTGAAGCAAAAACATTATGGGATACATGCCTTCTTAAAATCACTCCTAAGTGTGCTTTGGATATAATCGGAGTTGTCTTTGGAAACGGAACCATCACTGATGCTTGTTGTCATGATCTTGTCGAAGAAGAAAAAGTGTGTCACGACACGCTGATCAATTACATTTCAGATAGACCCCACCTAGTTGCTAACGAAACCGAATACTTGAAGAAGAGAGATGATTTGTGGACTCATTGTGTCTCAGTCACTAAAACTGCTTAAACTGTGTACTGATTATAATATATGATCAAATAAATTCTTAATTTACTTTCATAATATTTTTTTTTTACCACAAATACTGTTGTCTCTCTTGCAATATAAACAAATTTGTGAAAGAGTATATCTTTGCAGACTGATTTCTAAAATGCATAATTATCTACTCATTTTTAAAACTAAAAATTTGTTCATTAAGATTTCTCCAAAATTATCCGAAAGTTGAGTACTGAGAGTTGCAACCAATATTGTTGGCTGAGCTTTAATTTTTGACTAAAATGTATGTCTTAGATCTCTTACAAGTTTTCTTATAAACACTGATTTTAAACTTATGTTGAAAATGTGAAGAACAAAAAGAAATCGAATATACTATATTCATCGATTACTTCGAAATCATATATAAAATATCTTACAAAAACATTTATTTTTTTTCAATTAAAAATTTTTGTTCTCTACTCAGCATAAAGTTTTTTTTATAGGTTGAGAAAAGTCCATATATTTTATAAAATAAATCCTTTTTATGGTAAATGTGCTTTGCTAAAGATCGTTCATGAAAAGATCAATAAGCTTGTATATATATATATATATAATCGTTAAAATCATATCATATGCTTGGAGACAAAAACCGAATAATTTAGATGCTGTGAATATTTTATTGACGAAGCTATTTAAACATGAATATACTATACCAGTTTCAAAATTTTACTTTTTGGTTATTTTTTATGTTATTTTTGGTTATTTTTTTAAAAAAAAATTATTTTGACTTGTAACATCTGAAAAGTTTCAATTTGGTTTTCTAAAAATATCATCCAATTGACATTGTTTAGTTTTACTTTGTAATTATTCAAGTTGTCAAACTTTATGTCTATTGACAAGATATTTAAGAATAAATTTTAATTGGACAGGTTTTTTTTAATATCATTTTAATATTTCAAACTTTTCAGCCGTATAAACCGAGGATACAAAGTACTGTTTGACAATGATTAATTGTAGTTGTAAGTGTTTATTCATAAATGTTTTTCAATAAAAATCTAAAATGTCTTTTGTATTCTTAGTATTCATAATCTTAACACCCAATACTATGATATTGGTGAAGGATATTGGTATTCTCGAAAAAGGGAAAGGTTTAAAAAATATTAAATTTGATTATTAATTTATTTGTTACTGCAATCGATGGTGAATAAATGATAATAAGTGTTACAAAATAGCCAATAAATGTCATTATTTAATAAACTATCTAAAACATAGTAGGCATGCTATATAATTTTCACGAATAAATCTTATATTACCTTAGCAAATATTTAAATGACACATGATTTAAAATATTTGTATATGTTATATGTTAAATTGCAAACACCAAATAACTTGAATAAAATCATTTAGTTAAAACAATATTTAAGTATTTGACATTTCAATTTATCACTGACCTAAACTAATATTTTTTAAGGATGATGTGTGTTTTGTTTTTAGGTTAAACATAATGAAACTTATTTAGGTATATTAAAATTAAAGCATCATATTTATCATTCTTAAAATCCATGTTTAATTGTAATTCCGACCGTGAGATCTTATCATCTGATTTATAATGCTATTATAACTTAATTTCTATGCATAAGTTTCTTCTCAAAAGTATAACGATGTTAGCATTATATTATTCTTATTACGTTAAATGGTATTGATTTACGATGGTTTCTTTAAAATTTGTTTTGATAATTATGTTTTGGTTATAAAACATATAAATAGCTTCCACTAAGACAATCCATTCTCATTATATTCTTTTTTGTACCATAATATTTACTCGATCATTTTTAAGTTTTAGCAGATATGACTACAAGTACCTCCCAATTGACAACCCTGTTCATTGTTGTAGCTTTGGTGTGTGCATTTGTTCCTGCTTTCTCTGTAGAAGAAGGTGAAGCAAAAACATTATGGGATACATGCCTTCTTAAAATCACTCCTAAGTGTGCTTTGGATATAATCGGAGTTGTCTTTGGAAACGGAACCATCACTGATGCGTGTTGTCATGATCTTGTCGAAGAAGGAAAAGTTTGTCACGACACGCTGATCAAATACATTTCAGATAGACCCCACCTAGTTGCTAACGAAACCCAATACTTGAAGAAGAGAGATGATTTGTGGACTCATTGTGTCTCAGTCACTAAAACTGCTTAAACTGTGTACTGATTATAATATATGATCAAATAAATTCTTAATTTACTTTCATAATATTTTTTTTTTTTACCACAAATACTGTTGTCTCTCTTGCAATATAAACAAATTTGTGAAAGAGTATATCTTTGCAGACTGATTTCTAAAATGCATAATTATCTACTCATTTTTAAAACTAAAAATTTGTTCATTAAGATTTCTCCAAAATTATCCGAAAGTTGAGTACTGAGAGTTGCAACGAATATTGTTGGCTGAGCTTTAATTTTTGACTAAAATGTATGTCTTAGATCTCTTACAAGTTTTCTTATAAACACTGATTTTAAACTTATGTTGAAAATGTGAAGAACAAAAAGAAATCGAATATACTATATTCATCGATTACTTCGAAATCATATATAAAATATCTCACAAAAACATTTATTTTTTTTTCAATTAAAAATTTTTGTTCTCTACTCAGCATAAAGTTTTTTATAGGTTGAGAAAAGTCCATATATTTTATAAAATAAATCCTTTTTATGGTAAATGTGCTTTGCTAAAGATCGTTCATGAAAAGATCAATAAGCTTGTATATATATATATATATATATATATAATCGTTAAAATCATATCATATGCTTGGAGACAAAAACCGAATAATTTGGATGCTGTGAATATTTTATTGACGAAGCTATTTAAACATGAATATACTATACCAGTTTTAAAATTTTACTTTTTGGTTATTTTTAATGTTATTTTTGGTTATTTTTTTTAAACAAAATTATTTTGACTTGTAACATCTGAAAAGTTTCAATTTTGTTTTCTAAAAATATCATCCAATTGACATTGTTTAGTTTTACTTTGTAATTATTCAAGTTGTCAAACTTTATGTCTATTGACAAGATATTTAAGAATAAATTTTAATTGACAGGTTTTTTTTAATATCATTTTAATATTTCAAACTTTTCAGCAGTATAAACCGAGGATACAAAGTACTGTTTGACAATGATTAATTGTAGTTGTAAGTGTTTATTCATAAATGTTTTTCAAAAAAAATCTAAAATGTCTTTTGTATTCTTAGTATTCATAATCTTAACACCCAATACTATGATATTGGTGAAGGATATTGGTATTCTCGAAAAAGGCAAAGGTTTAAAAAATATTAAATTTGATTATTAATTTATTTGTTACTGCAATCGAATGGTGAATAAATGATAATAAGTGTTACAAAATAGCCAATAAATGTCATTATTTAATAAACTATATAAAATAAAGTAGGCAAACTATATAATTTTCTCGTATAAATCTTATATTACCTTAGCAAACATTTAAATGACACATGATTTTAAATATTTGTACATGTTATATGTTAAACTGCAAACACCAAATAACTTGAATGAAATCATTTAGTTAAAACAAGAGATCCCGAACAAGTGTAAGATGGTGTGTCGATTTTCACTTCAAGGTATGGAGTAATGGTTGTTTGATTCGAATGGATCTTGCTTTCCGCGGTTTAGGCTATTGGGTTTGGGTCAGTTTTGGAAAAAGTCAACAGAAAGGATTCTGCAGGAAAATAACTCCCCATCTGCGGAAGTATTTGAGGCAAGTCATGACTAATAAGATGATTCCGGTCATCGATTTCTGGAGATTTCATATCGCAAATCGAATGTTACAATCAATGCAGAATCTCTACGGCTCAAAACAGGGGCAATATATAAAGAGGAGAGGTGTCATAGATTATACTCACAACCACTTCTCTATTCTCTCTGACTTCTCTTCTCAGTACTCCGATCTCTTTACACAGAAAAAACAAATGGCTCAGAGCAACTTGGTTAAACAAAATGGATCGGGTATGAAAGATGAGAAGTCTCTTAAGCGGTTGAAGATCACGGTTCCACACTTTGACAACACAAATCTGATCGAAAGCTATTCAAGAACGCTAATCGGTCGGTGTATGAATCCACAGATGCAAGACATGAAGGCTTTGCTGTTCATGCTCCCCAGAATCTGGAAAGTTGAAGAGAGAGTGGCTGGTGTGGATTTGGGATTAGGCCGATTCCAGTTCTATTTACAATGAGGAAGATATAGCTGAGGTAATGAAAATGGAACCTTTTCATTTTGATTACTGGATGCTCTCGTTGGTGTGGTGGATGCCGGTGGTGGACCCAAGTTACCCAACAGCGATTATGTTGGGTTCGTATAATTGGCGTTCCATTACACTTCTGGCCGATGAAACTTTCCGATGTATTGGGAAAGCCCTTGGGGATGTCAAAGCGGTCAACCTAGATGATGGAAAGATTCAAGTGGTTATTCATGGACAGAAACCATTGTGCTTTGAAACTGTCGTGGAGTTCCATGGTGGGGAGGAAACGGTCGTGTACTTACGCTATGAGAGGCTGTTCGGTTACTGCCGCATCTGCTTTAGCTTATGTCACGACCACCAGCGGTGTCCGACTCGGTCAGGTGGGGCAGATCGTACGATAAAGGAGGATAACGGTGAGGACCAAGGAAAAAATCAAGGAGCTGCGTCTTATAGAGCTGCGATGTTGCATGGGAATGCCGGAAACAAAGGAAAGGGGAATAAATGCAGGTTTTGGTGGATCACAAAATGGTTCATAAAAGGGAAAATACAAGGTTTTTGATCAGAAGGAGAGTTCTCGTCAAAACACTACTGAAGAAGGCACAAGGCAGCAGCGAAGCAGATCGGAACGGAAACACGGTGAAGGCCCATCTCACTATACCCGGCCTTCTAGTTATGTCCCTCCCAAGGATATGCATCAGAAGTATACACTCAAGTGCTATGGGGAACAAATCAAGGCAGCTGGAAATAATTCAGGAACTCTCGGATCAAGATAAGGTGAATAAAAAAAAAGTGAAAAATGGAAAGAGAAAGGAATGCAAATGAAACAATCTGACAAAGGTATGACTTCTTCGATTTTGCCTTTGGAAAATACAGTGAGGAAGAGCTTGAATTTTGAGGATGGTGAATTCGCTAGTTTTGAATCTCGGGAAACAGATTTACTGGAAACGGAAAACATGAATTGGTTAGCGGAAATTACTGATTCCTTTGGTAACTTTGAAGAAGTGATTATGAGTGAGGAGATTTCAGGTGATGCTAATGGGATCGGTATGATGGTAGGCTATTCATACGTCTGTGCCTCGAGTTCTAGAACATACGTAGTTGGTTACCTTTATCACTTGTTTAAAATCGACATAGCCTAGTCCATGAATCCCTGCGATACCCTTAAGCCCCAACGTTTGTCTTTTATTGTTTACAACCTTCGATTTAGTTTGCTTTTCATTCGCTATTTACTTGCTTCCATTCGCCTTTCTTTAATCACTTTTTACTTGGTTTACTTGCTTTCGTTCTTAATTGATTTTGCTTGCTTTGCTTTCTAGTTTAGATTTCGTGATAACCAAAACCCAAAACCAAAACCCAAACTGTGTAGTTCTAGTGTGATTTAAGCATTGCCGTGAATTCGTACTGAAACAACTAAATCTCTGTGGATCGATACCCTAAGTACTACAGCGCACATCTGTGCACTTGCAGACATTCAGGGGTTATAAATTTAAAACCTGAAGCTTAGTAGAACAAACCAATACCCCGTTTACAATTGCAATCAGCTTGTGTAGTGATTGAGAAGACAGCTCGATCAAACAACCTAGGTCTGGTTACATGAGGTCGATTTTCTGTTGAACAGGCTTCAGAAAGAGGTTGAAAGCTCTCCTGATCTGAGAAGTCGTGCTCCACCATGGGTGAGGAGCTTGGAGCCGCGGTGGAAGTGGCTCTGGCCACGGGTGAAGTGGTCGCAGCTGCGGTCAGCTTCCTCCGGCTCTCCATGCTTGCTTCTTCAATCTCTTCTTCTCCATTGGTGTTCTCTTGCTTCCAGTGGTTGCCAGGCACGTCTTGGGTATCTAAATCATTGATTCCAGAGTTCAGATCATACTCCTTATGATCTTTAGAATTTTTTCAACTTTCTCTTCTACTTCATCTAAAGCATAGACAACTTTGTCTAAAGTAGCATCAAGCTCTTCTTTCTTGTTTGTGATCTTTTCCATCTCTTCACTCATCTCTATCTTGTCTCCATCAGAGTACCACTTGCTGTCTTTGAAATCTCTCTCCAATCTTCGATCAGAATATTGCAGCCTCTTTGTCCCTTAAGTGTTTGACGAAGGGTGATCGTGTTCTTTGCCTCGCCTTCTTCGATGTCTTTAAGCCTCTTCTCTAGAATTGCACTGTCTTTGATGATCAAAATCATGCCTGGAGGGTGATTCACATGCGCAGGGAGCTTCACACAGATCGCAGGACCCTTCACTCGGGGTTAGGGTTTCTCCTTGGATGATCCATGCTTCAAAGGTTTATGAAACTAGGGCAAACAGAATAAAAAATAAGCAGAAAAAAAAAATTAGGGTGTTTATAAATTTGATTTACTTCCTATGTTGCTTTGGCAGAAACTCGACATATATATATAGTCTTCTGCGGCTTCAACCTCCCCGGCAACGGCGCCAAAAACTTGATGGGCTTGCGGGCCTAGGGTTGTTTTTTAACAAGCCCGTTGGTCCTCCAAAAGTTTTAAATTAATAAAACCCTAGTGTCTGCAAGTGCACATATGTACGTTATAGGACTTAGGGTGTCGATCCACAGGGAGGATGTCTCTAGAAACAACAAACTGGGAAGTAAGCAAAGTCATAAACCAATTAAAACTTTGGGGTTTGTGGTTGAGATCCTAAACTAAACCTAATCTAATATTCACAAGAAATGCAATGCATGATGAATTGTTAAAAGAACATCTAAAGCATATCGACTGAAATTAAAGACTCTTGAACTCATAGGTGGTGACTTCGACTTCTCCGGTTTACTCTAATCGATGTATGATGGCATTTCCAATTAGCTTCCGGGCGATTTATCTTCATCTGTTTTTGGGAATCTGCATGGAACTAGAATATAAATATATATTATTAATCAACTCTTGTCACCTTAATGAACTAATCTCTTAGATCTAGAAATTAACTCTCGCTCTCATGCTAAAATTAAGATCATGCATTAGACATTGAATTCGTCTGCTCACATCTTCTCTATAGGTAGCTTTCGACTCCTTTAGTGACTATGTTCCTCTAAAGCTAGGTACAGATGATCTGATACAGCACACTCATGACTCTTATCAATCCTAGGCTCATAGAATAGGTCATAAATCTACTCTCATGCTTTATGAACAACTTATAATAGATAAGATCCAGAATATGGTCTAGAACAATCGAAATCCTAATCGATATATATGCTTATCAATATCTTCAAACAACTTGACTCTTTGGGACTAATCTACATGATGCAATGAATGATGAATGACATAGAAGAATGCAAAAGAATAAAACAGAAAAGTTAATAAGATAAAAAAGAGAAAGAACAATGGATCTGGGGAAGAATCTGATAACACCGTATTTTGACCACTTTTATGGATCGTTTTGAAATATTTTTTCTATGTTTTAAATTGCTTTTAAGTACTTTTATTATGTTTTTCTAGTATTTGTAGTTCCAAGGCTCTTTTCAGGTAACTTAGGAAAAAGCTTAACAAAATGGATAGAAAACCAGATTTCAGCTCAGAGTCAAACCGTCATAAGTTCACCCCTGATTGAAGGCCTTCTCACCGTCCGATCCAGCTCAAATTTGGAGACCTTAAAGATGGAAGTATCAGCTTTCCAGTGCACTTTACAGCTTGGCAATCCAACGGTTCAATCAAAAGATACGCGAAGAGCAAGATGTCCCGTAAACCAGCCGGCAAGCACTTCCACCCGCGGCCAAACACTCATTCCCCGCGGTCAGGAGCATCCCGACCGCGGCAAACCACTCATCCATCGCGGTCTCACTTGTCCTGACCGCGGCCATCAACCTCCGAGCCCAAAAAGCCCATTTCTGAAGCCCATATTTGGAGAAACCCTAAGTGACGTCCAGAGAGGTCTTGAGCACTATAAATACATGTCTTAGGAGCCCTAGAAATGGTGCAACCTTAGAGAACCGAATTATTTGCTTCATACTTTTATTGTTTTTGCTTTAGCTTTTAGGGAGAGAGAGATTTGTTCTCTTGAACCCTTGTTCTTTCTTTTTCAATTTCGATTTCTATTCTACATCTTAATACTATGTCTTTGATTTCGTTCATTATGTCTGAGTAGTTTTATTGTTGGGATTAAGGGATTTTTTATGGGGATTTATATGTTCGATGAGGATTCCATGAGCTTTTGAGCCGAATCTTAGAACTTTTTCTTCTGAATTCGTTTTTACTGCATGAGAGTAGCGTCATGAACTACAATCTGATCCAGAGCTTGGTGACACGAAAGTGTTCATCAGGAATCAGATCTAGTTTGGGAGAGCAAAACAAACATAGGAGTGGAAACCTACCTATGGGCGATTTGTGAATTAGGACGAGTCTTAAACATAATGCATCTCTTCTCTTCCAGGGCCAGAGTGGAAACCTACTGGTCAGGGTTGAGAGAGATAGTTGTCTATGATCAAGACAGTGGCGTATTCATACGTCCGTGACTCCAGTTCGAAAAGTTTAAGCTAAGATCTTACAAAATTTCCTCCCTAGCAATGTTTTGAATCGTTCGTACCCCTGAGAAAACTTCCCTGAACCCCAACGCTTTCTTTCTCCATTGTTTTACACCGATTTTCTTTAAAGCTTTAGTTCAATATTATCTTTTCTTTTTAGTTCATTTTCATTTAAGCATTAGAATATCCGTTTTTATCATTTTTAGTCATTTTTATTAAGTTTAGTTATTACGTCATTTAATTCTTGTATTCTCTTTTAATATTTCGTTTTTAGATTTTAAACACACTACCAAACCCCTACAAAACCGTTTTTGTTCTAGACTTCCTTACTTTAACTTATTTCAAAGGCTTTTTGCAGGAAAAGATCCTCCTTCCCTGTGGATTCGATCCCTAAGTACTGCAATTGATCAGCTGTGCACTTGCGGCTATTGATTTCAATTAGGGTAAAACTTGAGAACCCACGACACACCACATCAAGTCACCATCAAGTTTTTGGCGCCGTTGCTGGGGAAGTCACGCATTTTCTTTTCTGAAAAACCCCGAGAAAGGTTAGTAAATCGACTCTAGAACCTCCTTTTCTGCAACTTTCCATTTTTCGGTTATTTTGTTTCCATTTCAGAAGATATGGATCCTATAAATCAAAATATACACTATGAGGAAGGTTTCTATAACACTCCTCAAGCCACCAGACGCATAGAGAAGCATCTACGCGATCTCTACGAAGAAACTCAACCCGAAGACTACAGAACGTTCCAGAAGGAGCCCTATGCACCTCAAATGGCAAACCCTAAATACTCTATGTATCGCCTACCTCACCAAGTTCTCCAGCAAGATGAGAACGTCCAGCTCAGCAACAGACTGAGTCAGCTCGAAGGCGTGATCAGACAGTTCATAGAAGCTCAAGCAACCGCTACAACTGCTCTAAACGAAAGGATTGATGGGATATCGAAACTTTTCAATGAAAAATCGATAACCTAGCCTCACAAGTCAATTCAATAGAAGAACGTACAACCAAGGATGCAGCTATGATTGCTAACAGGTTCAACAGCATGGAGGAAGAGCAAGCAAAGCACAACTATGAGCTTCGCAACACCAAAA